AAACCAAATTTTGCAATTTTTTATATCAATATCAGAAATAATCCAAATTTAGCAAAACAAGCTAAAATACCAATTTAGAAAACATTTTTTTATTCAACAATTGTATTTTTAAATTTGAGCAATTAGTGTGAAAAACGGAATAATAAATTGCAAAAATAAATTTATTATTGACAATGTTGCAACTTTTTTCATTTTTTTAGCTCGAAATGTTGAGGAAAGTATAAAACGAAGAATGAGTAAAACAAAATTTTTGATAAATTAGAAAATGAAAAACTTAAAACTTGCAATTTTTGCTATAGAAAATAAATAGTAAAAATCCAGAAACAGAATTAAAAACTAGAATCCAATAAGATTCGAAAATTAAATTCGTTAGATTTGTTCTTGCAGTTTTTTTAAAACATAAAAAGTTTTTGTTAAAATTAATATTAAAGTAAATTTTACTCGTCTTCTACGAATTTTTAAAGAGAATTAAGAAATATTTTTTTTTGTAAACACAACTAATTTCGATTCATAATTTAATAAATACTTACTGTTGCTCTTAAAAATCACAAATTTATACACTTCACTTGGCAATAAACAAAAAAAAAAATGGAAATTTAAAGTGCACTAACCTTCTTGTCTTATTCTGCTACCCTTTGTAGCAATTTGCCTCAGCTTCTTAAACGGACTTACTGAAAATAAGGAAATACATAATTAGTTCAATATGTTGTTAAAATCAGTTAAAAATATTTAAAACATGTGATTTTTCGAAAAAATCAAAGGTATTATTGACTTACCCTTTAATCCGGATCTTTGTAGCACGATTGCTTCCTCCATTTATTTCTATTGGCACTCACTAATAACTCGAAATTTTACTACTAAATATCTATTAGTCACTCGAAAATACCCAACACGCTCGCACTGATAATATAGCCCCCATTTCTACACAATTTTGCACTGAACCACAAAATAAATAATTTATTCGGACAATTATTACAATTAAAGTAACTCGTACGGGAGCTTGGCTAAGACTGACTTGTTATTGTAATAATTCCCTCAAAAAACGGAAAGATTCACAAAAACTCATTTTGTAACAGTTTCGTTGTAAAATTGTAATTCTGCTATTTGCAACGTCACAAAATAATTCAAATATTACACAATTCCACATTCACAATTTTTTGCGCCCTTTACGATTAAACAACCTTCCGATTTGCCTGATATGACGTCAAGATGTCAAGCATCTGATTGGCTACAGGATAGTGTCTTTTTACCGAAAATTTAATTTTGTTGAAAGCTGAGAATAAAAATTTAATTTGTCATAATCGATTTAAAAAAGGCAAAATAAAATTTAATTCAGGAATAAGCAAATCGGAATTAAGTTGTCACTTACTTCTTCAATTATTAAATTAATCGCAAATTAAAATTTGATTGCAATTAAGATTGCTCTGTAAATACTTTATCAAAATCGAAATGTGAAATTTGTTTAAAGCAAAATTCGTATGTTGGTATATTTTATTGTTCTTGTTAAACTTTAATGTTAAAAAACTAAATCTACTACTTTTGTTTAGTTAGTAAATTAGAGAACATTTACACTGAAAACAGATTTGGTGTCACTGGCGAATTATCTAATACTGGTAATCTCGAGCGTCCTGTTGAGAAAATAAAAACTTTATAAACAACGAACAACTGGTCTTATCGTTATCAGAATTGGCATCATCAGGCGGCTTTATTACGGTCAATGGTCCTAAATGCAAACTCGGGTTGTATTAAAAAGAGGCACTGAAAATATCGTCTGGGCGAACGACCGCTGGAAAATGATCGAAATCGCCTTTATGAAACAATCCCAAATGGGACTTTAGCATTAAATTCGAGCCGAAATTGCCGGAAGATGTTTTATAACGGGACATAATCCCCAAAACCTCGTCTAGTTTTTGCATTTAAGCACCTATATCTGCTTACAATTTAATTTTCTATAGACCGACCCAACCTTAATTTACAAACTTTGTTAGAGTTATCGATCCGGACGTTTCGGAAAACGGCTCCGGGCTTGTTCCACAAATATTCCGGTGGCCTCATAATTGCATAACATACGAAAAAGACACAACAATCTTTAAACTTCTTGTAGGGTGTGAAAGTTTGCGTTGTTTCCAGAACTTGCAGTTGCATCCGATCTAAATTACTCTCCAGAAACGAACAGAACTGACAGGAACGGATTTACTGCTAGATTGATAAGCGGCCAGAGAGACGGAAAAAATACGACTTTCAGCGGAGATGAATTCTTTGAAACGTTTTTACGAATATCTCATTATACATTTTTCATGTTTTAAATGCATATATTTTGTTTCAAAAGAAAATTAATCATGAACTTTGCCTGCAAGAGAACGAGAAATTAAATGAGATCCTTGAAAAAAAATTTAATAAACTTAAAAGCTCCAAATGTGTAATTTGACCTCCGGAAGCTTCCCACAATAACGGGGGTATTTAGCTACAATTTACATATAAATAAATAAAATGAATCAAAATAACACATGTAGATCTCGAATTGGAACAAGTAAAATCTTTGTCTTAATTAAGAAAATTTAAAAGAAACACAAATCAAAGATATTTTTGTCACTGTAAACCGAAAAAAGCTTATTACATTTATTTAAGAAAACTAAATTGAAAAAACAAGCTGAAACAAAAGAATTAGAGCACGATTTTGCGAATTCTTGCATTTATTCAACAAAATATATTTAAATTAAAGCAATTCTCTAATTAAAAACGGGAAACAAGTCAAGAGAATAATTTTTTTTTTCAATTTTTTAGCTTAAAATGTTGAGAAAAATATAAATTGAAGAGGAGAAACCACTTCTAGAAAAATCTGAGTAAAGAATTTTTTTTGATAAATTGGAACGTTAGAACTTGCTTGTCCAAAAAAAAACAGTAATAAAAAAACAAAATTTCGTCAACATCAATTTTATTTAATTTTTTTTGTGTAGGTATTTTTTGCCTTACTTAG